GTGGTATTTCCTATTGGAGTAGGCTAAACAGATACACAAATGTTTACTATTTGAACACTGAAGTTTGTGCATGACCTTTGCAAAGAATATGTGTAACGAAATACTCTAAGCTCCCTCTTGTCTTAAACAACATCACTCAGAAAAGCTTGGGTCTTGGAGCTCAGGTGGTTTTACCATATTAACGGATTAGGGAGCAACTTACCATGTGTGGCTTCTTGGAAGCCAAGTCTCTTTCCCCACCTTGTCTATGCAGAACTTCTGGGGACCGTTACTTCCTGAGGGGATAAAAGAGAAGACTCTTGTTAAGTTAATTCACCAAATATCAGCTTGATTATATTGTATTAACACTGTCTTAGAAAAGCATAATATTTAAGATTTGTTGTGCTGATTTTAACCATGAATGTCAACACTATAAATGATCATATACAAGCCAGGATTCAAATAATGGGTAAAATAAACATTATACAGGGGGTGTATTTACCTGCAGCCTACTACTGTACAACTACTCACATGGCAAATTCAATATGTATGTACTTCTCCACAGCACTAATTCCAGCAGTACAAAACAGTAACTTTGCTGCTCTGACTTTCTCTTTTAAACAGAAATACACGTTTCATACGCCTATTTTTCCGATTTCCCCTTTTTCCTGAGCGATGCAAATGTGTTGCCAATGAAACGTAATGTTGGTTTTTTCACATTAAATGCCTTTAGGACCAATAATGGGAAGACTAGGGACTGGGATACATTTAATGTGTATATTCCGCTGTGAGGGCTGAGTGGAATTCATATGAGGCAAACAGGGATCGGTAAAAATGGAAAAGGGACAGGACTGGAATTGGTTAGTGAATGAAAACATTTCTGTTAGAGAAGAGAAACAGAGCAGCAGCGTGGTGAGTTTGACTGATGTTGTACTGATTGATACTGTTACTTTGGGAGTATGAGGATTTATAGTTCCCTGGGAAAAATGGAATCTCAACAAATATACAGAGTTCATCGAAAAATTAAGACAATATGATCCTTCACAAAACTCTTCTAAAGAACAGTGAGTGAATCAGTGTTACCTATGAGCTCAGCGAAGCCTCCCACAGGCAGCCGACAGGTTCCTGTTACAAACTGAAGCAGACGGATTCTCTTCTCGTTGTCCATCTCTTTCACCACCTGCAGGAACACAACTCCATCAGTGCCTATTAGTGTTCATCCAAATCCAAATGTACGCATAAATCATCCCACATGGATATTATACTCCACCTCTACCGGTCCATGTAGGCTATATTGCCTTTTAAATTATGTCTAAAAGCACGCTCTTTCCAGGTAATTTCTTTGTTTTGCATTGTATTGATTTATGATAATGATTCGAGAGGCTGCTCAGTAATTTTAAACGTTTGTATGTGCACGGTAATGTCACTGCAGCAAATATCATGGGACATTTAAGGTGCAAATGTAAAAACTGTATAAATTTGACAGGACAGAGGAAACGGAGGATTTATCAGGAGGATGGCAATTCCACTGTATAAACACTGGAATGCACATACTTTATCATAGCAGATGTGTGTGTGTGAACCAGAGTGTGTCTGTCCATACCTGCCAGAACCAGTGGATCTGCTTGCTGTTCTTGGTGTAATGTCTATAGATTGTGTTCTTCTGCCAGTCGGCCAAATCGATCTCTTGCATCCCACACAGCATCAGCTGCAACAAGCAAAACCATAGTTAGTCCGGTGTGCGCAGCTGTGTGTCCTTTATTCTTTATATTTGTTTGTGTGACTCATCAGTGGGCAGAGGACAACATGGGACAGGACAGTGAGTCACAGTGTGTCCCATCTCAACCTCAGACTAATTTAATTTACTGTCTCCGTCAGAGTGTCTGCTGTGACGTGGGCTCATTTAGATGAAAGCTCAGCTGCAGCAGGAGTCAAGGAGAAACTGTTCATTAATCAGGGTCAGGAGTCATTTACAAACTGAACCACGGCTGGGACTCACAACAGCCTCCTTTCAATTCATCCTGTTCAGGAGCACATTTTTTCCAGCATTTAAAGCTTGGAAGATATTTGATATTAAGAGCTTAACTGATAAAAATAGGCCTTGCTAAAAACCTAAGCTCATCTTTATAAACTTGCTTTTATCTAATAACCTTTTCTGTATTTTACCTCATCCACTGATTTTATTTACTGTTCATTTCCCTTAGAATCTCCAATTTCTTTTTCTCTTTTAAGAAATCATTTCTGCTTTGTTTTTAATGTTCTAACTGACCCTTCATGAGTCAGTAAGATCAGTTTC